ATGGCACACCTGAACAATGCCATATGATTGTTGCAAACATTCTGGATGCATTCGAGGAAAAGAAATATTGCTCGGTAGTCTTCCTGGACGTCAAGCAAGCCGTTGACAGAGTATGGCTCACTGGACTGCTCTACAAGCTGAAGATTGCCCTACCTGCACCATACTACTTATTTCTAAAATCTTAACCCGAGGGAACAATGTTCTTCGTGAAGTGCGGAGATGAAGGCTCCGACATTAGAGCCGGAGTTCCTCAGGGAAGCGTACTGGGCCCAGTCCTCTATACTCTGTATACCGCTGACATGCCTATCATATCGGATAGAAGACTACTGACTGCCACCTATGCTGACGACACGGCCTTCTTGGCAAACGATGTTTCGTCACAGGCTGCCTCTGCCAGCCTCAAAATGCAGCTTGACTCCACTAACGTCTGGCTAAGGAGATGGAATTTGATGGCCAACCCCGAGAAGTCCACTCAAACCACTGTTGCCCTAAGAAGTGAAGACTGCTCCCGGTTCAACTGGAGGGCTCAACCATCCCTAGCAGCGATACAGCCAAGTATTTGGGTCTGGTGCTAGACAGATGACTAACCTGGAGACCTCACCTACTCAACAAAAGGTCACAGCTGAACGAAAGGCTGAAAAAGCATCTCTGGCTTGTTGGCAAAAGGTCTACCCTGAGGCTGCGCTTCAAGCTATTAATTTATAAGGCTATAATGAAACCCATGTGGACCTATGGGATTCCGATCTGGGGCACTGCCTGCCGAACCAACTGTAATATCATTCAAAAATTTCAAAACAAAGCGCTCAGAACCATCTCCAATGCGCACCCATTCCACTCAACCGTGGAGATTCAGAACGAACTCGGTGTCCCATGGGTTCACGAGGAGATTCCAGGCTGAGCAGAGCCCACATAGAGCGAATGGACAGGCACACCAATCCCCTCGCCATTAAACTGCTTAACAGCAACTCCACCCGCCGTCTGTGAAGATACCACCCGCTTGACCTTCTTCATCGCACAAGCTAAACTTATCAATCCATCTCTCCACAAAGCCACACATAATACAAAATCATAATGCTAATGTTCCTCCAGTATAATTTGCTGATTGTCCGTTAGGACAGATTGCAAATTTATATCAACTGTTAAACAAAAAAAAAAAAAAAAAAAAATCAATATTACGAGTAATTTATTGTTTAATAACATTAAGTAAAATACTATGACAGTCTCTCTTGATATACAAACATTTTCTATTTCAAACATCTCTGTTGCTTTTCTCCCTAATATTAGCTTTTTTCTATGGAAAGTTAATTTTTTAATACATCGATGTTTTCCCTTCGACATACATCCCTAGGGTGAAGTACCCTGACTCACTTAGGCCCTGAAGGTTGGGCCATTGTGATACCGCGTGGACTGATCCACTTCCCAATTTCCCTTTGTTAGCTGCGTGTCTTGCCATGTGTTACATCCATCCAAATGCCTGCAGGATTTTGAAAATGTCCCTCGGTTTCTTTTCCGATAGTGCCCATAAATCCGGGAGGATGCTTGCCCCTAGAAAACGCTGTTCTGGCTACGTCTCTGCAGAAGTCGCTGTGGTAGAGCCCCAGTCTGGCGGCGTGGGTGCCCACCAGGCAGTGCCCGGTGATGGCTCTTATTGCCGTTGAGGATTGGACTCTGCTCAAATTCCTGAGGTCTAAGGAACATTTATGGCCTGCAACCCAATGAGGTAAACAGAGAACTGTGCTGCCATCTCGTAAAGAGATTTGCGACAGTTCTGCACTGATATCGAATTCGTTATGATTATGTTTAGAGATTTTATTGTCGCTTGGCTATCTGAGTATATGCAGATTTCTCTGCTGCTGGGATTGGCAGTGTAAGAACGGTTTCTTTTATATTTAGGATTTCTGCCTGGAACATATTGCAGTGGTCCGGAAGTCTGAAGAATTGTTTGATAGCTAGTTTTTCGCAGAAGACGCCACCACCTTTGCAATTGTCTAGCTTAGAACCATCTGTGTAAATTTTTATTGAATTGGTGGGGCCTGGTGGTTCATAATTCCAATCTTCTTTTGAGGGAATGATGGTGTAAAAAGAAGTGTAGTCGTACTACTTGGGGGAGCCATAGTCAGTGACTGAGGGGATGATGTTATTTCCTCTCAGAATTTTGGCATGACCTCTGACTATTAGTTTGTTTCTCTCATGCGAAGAACCGCCGGCGTGGAAGGCGTTAAATGCCGATGCGCCTACGGCGGCTTAAACGGCAGGGCAATGGCAGCGGTAGTAGTGGCGTCGAAAATGGCAACCGCAGCGAAGCGAAAGGCGCGAGGCATCAGTAGCCGCAGCCGCAATAACAGAACAAAAGCGCCGTCTGCAGCGGCTGCCTTGGCGGCGACGCCAGCACAGCCAGGCCAGCGGTCAAGCGTTGGTGCAGGCAAGGCAGGCGCTCCTAGCTGAAGAATGACGTCCACGTAAGCCTGCAGACATAATCAAATTTATTGCGTTTCAGCCACATATAGCACAAATGATACCTCAACGGCAGCGATGGAAGGCCTGTTGCACTGGCTATAGTCGACGCAGTATAACATGTACACCGAGTTTTAAACAGCAAGTTCATGCCGCTGGCACTTAACCAACCAAAGCTACTATAGGTAGTCCATCGGCGGCAGGCCACGCAGGCTGCGACTAAGTAATTTCGGCGCGAGATGCAGCTCGCATTTGCCCATCGGAAAGATTCCTTGTTTCTGTAGAACAATTGTTGTGTTTTGGAGGATCAACCATGTTGATTTATTAAACCATATATATTTTTGAAAAATCATAACCGCGCCTTTCACTATTTGCACTTTAGGGTGCCCATAAGGTATTTTCAGCACATTCTGGCCAGCAAGTATAGCTTCGTTAAAGTGCAAAGATTTGTTTCTCATAGTATAACGGCGCCTGAATGTAGAGGGTACAGATTGTATGTTTTATATATTGTTTATGTCGAGTGTCTTTGTGCGTAAGCTATGGGGCGCACCACAAATTTCTTCCAGCAATGAAGCTGTTGGGACTTAGAATATATGTGTCTAATAGACAAGACAGCGCACTCCACGGTTTGCAAAGAAATAAAACTGAACACAATACAAGGATAGATGCCATTCGGGGCATCTCAATAAAATCGGAAATGGCAGAGATAACAACGAATCGTTGCACTGGCTCCACACAAACATAAAGACTACATCTATCCCAGCCATAGACTCAACGTCCTCACTAAGGAGTACCCATTACTTCCTACCGGAGCACCCTACATTAACGTTACAAGTACTGGAGGCAGATTCGGGCTGTGTATCCATCGGCAAGGAGAAACTGAAAGGCAACAAAGGTTTAGTAAGCAGTCACAACGAATAACGCTAAGTACAGACCAAGTTACCATGTTGATGCAGCAAGCACAACGCACCATTCTGGTAAATGCACTACTTGAAGACATAAAGCCAGTTCCACTTCGCAGCAGCACCATTGGCATTTACCTTACGTCCGCCACGGACCAATATCAATACCGCCTCCAAGCTGGCATGCACGACATGGCTGGCATACAGCACAGACCGAGAGCCGACAACCAAACCGCAGCAGCTCCCGGAATTAATAGACGTAAGCAAAGATTCAACACATACATACCATTCCATTACTTTAAACACTCATCATATGAAAGGTCATGTTTACGTACTCAGAAGTAAACCACACAAATAAGTAGTAAAGGAGCAAGCTCCAAAGAATTCTCTTCTGGAATAGTTAGTTCCAACAATGCACAAAAACGATGACACGACACTCCCAAGAATACATATACCGACAGTTGACCATTAACATTAATGTCTAAACGGCACTGCCGGTCGCCAAAATCGACACATGCAACTGTCCTCGAAATAATTAACAATCGCCAACGTCACACAAGCACTTTGCATTTGCGAAATTTGATCTTGACTTCGCCTCAACGGCCGGTCGTAGTGACCAATTTTAATGCTGATTCCGCAACTTCTGAATCAGGTGCGGATCGAAAAATCTCGCAATAAAAAGCCGAATGGCTGCTGATTCGACTAAGTCGGAAAACGAATTTTATTATAATGATGGTGCTTAGCCTAGGTGTGGGCGTGTGTCTTTTTTATGCACACAATCGATACCTCAAATTCATTCGATATCTGCTACATTTCAATTACATTTGTGGGTTTCTTATCATTCAGCTATTTACATAAACCCCGAAATATCGGTTGAGTAATTCAATTCTGTTTACAATACTACTAATTATAACAAGGTATTTACATAAATATTCTCCCGGCCATGAGGAATTAATGTAACTTTAACTTATATCAGCTTTCGGCGTCAACATACTCCCGGCCTTGGAAGCTCCTTCCAACAATCATCTCGTCAGTCTGATATCGGTAGTGGGCAAAGCTTGTGTATATTCCGCTTAAACAATCCCGCCTTTGTTTTCACCGTGACGACCCGAACAGCTCCGTCAGCGCCAGGATGAACTTCTTGGATTTGACCCAGTACCCATTGTCCTGGGGGAGTATTGTCTTCTCCAATAAGAACCAAGGTCCCGCGTTGTAGATTGTTGCACGTCGATGCCCATTTACTCCTTTCTTGCAATAAAGTTAAATACTCCAGCGACCAGCGTCGCCAGAATGAGTGATGCACCGCTACGATTCTCTTCCATCGATTCGTTACTGATAATTTCAGAATATCCTCATCGCATGCTTCGGTCATAGCGTTTAACGGACGTCCGATTAAGAAATGACCTGGCGTTAAGGCCTCCAAGTCATTTGGGTCTGAAGACAATGGACAGAGTGGCCGCGAATTCATAACGGCTTCAGCTTGTGCAATGGCCGTGGCGAGTTCCTCATAGTCGAGCGCCGTTCCATTAAAGCACCGCACCAACAGCTGCTTAGCCACCTTCACAGCGCTTTCCCAAAGCCCTCCAAAATGGGGCGAGCGAGGGGGTATAAAATGAAATTGAACCCCGAGGCTGCTGCATTGGTTTACGATTCGACGTTTGCCAGTTTCGTTCCACATACGATCAGTCAGCTCTTTTACTTCACGAGCTGCGCCAACAAAATTTGTGGCGTTGTCGCAAAATAGCTCTGCGCTGAGTCCACGGCGCGCAAAAAAAATTTGAGGGCGGCAATAAATGCATTTGTGCTAAGGTCCGACACGAGCTCCAGATGACAAGCCTTTGTCAGGAAGCATACAAAGACACACATATACATCTTGGTTGGACGTCGTCCTCTCTGGTGGAAATGCATCCAAAACGGGCCGGCGAAATCCAATCCTGCTCGTTGAAACGGATTCACACCCGTTTGTACTCTGCTCGCTGGCAGCGAGCCCATAATCTGGTTTGCCGCTACTGGGCGCTGGCGAAAGCATGCCAAGCAACTCCGCACTGTCTTGCGAGCTAGCTTTCGAGCATTAATGATCCAGTACCTTTGTCGCACAAAAGCGCATAATGCATGCGCTCCGGCATGCATATTAGTTCGATGTGTGTACTCAAATAAAGCGGTTATAACAATATGATTATTCGGCAATAAAATTGGGTGCTTTGTGTCAAATGGTACATTAGCTTGAGACAACCTGCCACCTACCCGAATAATTTCTATCCCGTCAATTACGTCTAGGAACGGATTGAGCGCTTGTATTTTCGCGGATCGAATAAGCTTGCCATCGTGCAATTTTACGATCTCTTCGTGAAAACTCAAACTTTGCAAATTAAATATTATGTAGTTTAATCCACCCTTTACTTCAAAGGCTGTCAGCGGCTTGGATTTAGCTAATTCAATTTTTGATATAACCCGACGCCAGCGACAAATATAGCCAAACACGCGAGTCAACTTAAACAAATCCCTTGCATATTTACATTTGCTAACGATATCCTCCACAAGCCTTTGGGGACTGGCTACTAATGTGAATTTAGAATTACGTTGCTCGGGAAGTGAATCAGAGCGATTCCAATGCACCGCGGGCCACTGATCTTCTGGCTGCTGCAAGAATTTAGGACCTTTCCACCACAGCGACGAGTTTCTCAATTCGCTCGTATGCAGACCACGAGACACTATGTCTGCTGGGTTAAGTTTCGATTCTATCTTAAACCATTCATCTATACTAGATAATTCGTGGATTAAAGCGACCCTATTTGCAACAAAGGTGGTCCATCGGCTAGAATGAGAGGCAATCCAATTAAGCACGATGGTAGAGTCTGTGAAATACCTGACGCTAGAAACATATCTAGGAACACACTTCTTAACCTTGGCCATCAGCTGGACCAAAAGTCTGGCGCCCTCAAGTTCTAAACGAGGTAGCGATGTGACACGAACTGGTGCTACCTTGGATTTTGCCGCCACCAAATTGACAGATATGGTTTCTAGCTTGTCTATAACCCGAGCGTATATGGCTGCCCCAAAGGCACGGCAGGACGCATCCGAAAATTCATAAAACTCAACCGTGTCTATTTCCCGTGAATTTGGGATGACAGCTCGAGGCAACGAACATTCGTGTATGAGTTTTAACTCGCTACGATATTTTTTCCACTGTATGGCATGACTGGGTGGCAAATCCTCGTCCCAACCCTGCTTCAATAGCCATAACTCTTGCATGAAAACTTTACCTAATATAATAATGGGGCTCAAAAACCCAAGCGGGTCAAATAATTGCGCTAGCTCCGATAATACTACGCGCTTAGTGACCACGTCCGAGCACTGCGCACCGTAACCGAATTGGAACTTGTCACTAGTCGACGCCCAACGTATCCCAAGCGTTTTTGCAGCGTCGGTAACTTTAAGTTCCAACGGCTCGGTGCTCTCATCATGAGAGGCAAATTTGAAATTAGAGCGCCATTTATGAAGTTCAAATCGCCCTAACTTTAACAACTCTGTCACTTGCTGTTTTAACTCTTTTAGCTCATTAATGGAGTCAGCTCCGCAGAGCATATCGTCCATGTAAAAGTTGCGCTTCACTGCTTCACTAGCTAAAGGATATTGATGACCAGCCTGCTCAGCTAAATAATATAAGCAGCGAACTGCCAGGAATGGTGCTGAATTTGTACCGTATGTTACAGTTTTCAGCCGCAGTGTCTTTACAGCTTCAGTACGCTCTTGTCGCCACAAAATTCACTGATAATTACAGTCACCAGATTCTACTAAGATTTGTCTATACATCTTTGAGATGTCAGCTGTAAGCGCATACTTGTAGAACCGGAAACGAGTGAGTATATCGAATAATTCCGGCTGCAAGGTAGGGCCTACTAACATGATATCGTTCAATGAGAGCCCATTGCTCGCCTTGCATGAAGCATCAAATACGACTCTTAATTTAGTCGTTGAGCTTTCTGGTCGAATTACTGGGTGGTGAGGCATCACGTATCTAACATTCTGTACCTGTTCAGACCCTACCTCCTCTAAATGATCCAGCATCCGATATTCTTCTATGAATTCTGTGTAACTCCTTTTGAGTTCTGGATTACGAATGAGTTTTCTTTCAAGGTTCAAAAACCTGGTGAGAGCAATACTATAAGACTCTCCTAATTCCTCTTTGGGTACTTTAAATGGCAGACGTACCACGAACCTATTAGCAGCTGTCCTTCTCACAGATGAGACAAACTGCGTTTCGCACGTCTGCTCAGCCTCTGTATACCTGTTTTCTGGCTGTGAAATCTCTTCACACTGCCAAAATCTTTGCACCAACTTGTGCAGTTTTCTTGTATCCTCTTGGTCGGAACTTGGTACTCGACTAACAATTAAGGCATTCCTTTCACTTGTTATACATTCACCTACAACAATCCAACCTAAAAGAGATTTTTGAAGTAATGGCTTATTGATGCCCATTTTAATTTGGCCTGCTACGATAAGCTTAAAGAACAAATTAACTCCGAGCAGCATAGATATTTCATTAGCTGAATCGAAGAAGGGATCTGCCAGCTTTACTTTTGATGGCACGAAAAAGCCTTCTGCTGACGCGCTTGTTGCCGGATTGTATCGCGTTATTTCCTGCAATACACTGAACTTGTCTGTAGCTACGAAATTTGTTGCCCTGGACTTGATGGTAGTCTGAACTTCACCTAAAATTCTCGACTTGGCATTTCCTATTCCATTTAGCGAGTATTGAACATCCTTTATATTGAGTTTCAACTGTGATGCCAAACTGGTGGTTATGAAATTCAACTGACTACCTGAATCTAGTACGCATCTGCTTTGCGAATATTTACCGTTAGAATTCTGCACAAGAACTACCGCCGTTGCCAAAAAGCTTGTTGTCCGACTTGTCAGTATCGCACTATGCAGTGAGCTAGGATTATCTTGCCTACTGACAGGACAATTGCTTGAACTTTCCACTTCCATTGCTGATCTATGAAGCAACTCATGATGTGGCTTGTTACAAGCCGAACAACGCTGCGCGCTGCAATCCTTTGTTTGATGACGCTTACTAAAACAGACAAGACATATTCCAAATTTTTTAACTTCGTAATATCTTTGCAACGGTGACAATGACTTAAACTTTGGGCACATCTTCAAGTGATGTGAACTCGAACAACTATAACAAAAGTTAGTTGCAGTATTTCCCAATGCAGCAGTTAGACTGGCCCTTTTGCTGTCACCCTTAGCATTTGATTTGGCAATGACTGCCTTTCTGACTTCTCGCCCGGCTAGATTAATTCCTCTATTGCATAAGAATTGTGCTAGCAGCTGCCAAGAAGGTAGCTTGGCGCAATCATATTCGCTCTCCCACTTCTCTAGTGTTTCATCGTCCAACTTGCTACGAACCAAATGGAACACGAGGGCCTCAAGAATTTCCCCTTCATTGCCTAGAGATCGAAGGGCTACAAGTTGCGAATTCACTGCATCTACCAAACTGCCAAGTGACTCTGCGTCTGCATTCTTAAGTCGACGAATATTGAATAGCTCACTCACATGCGATTGTACGATAATAGCTTTATTTTCAAAACGATCCCTAAGTAACTGTAAGGCCTTCCTATAGTTGACTGCAGATAATTCCAAGCACTCTATAGTTCTCAATGGGACAGCGCTTAGACATGACTTCAAATGAATAAACTTTGACAGCTCATCAATGTCATGGTCTGCCTCAATCAAGGTAGTGAATGCGTTGTACCAACTAGTCCACTCTGTATATTTGCCAGAGAATTCTGGCAGCTTCAACATTGGCAATTTACCTACTCGGGAAACTGCAGCACCATTTAGCAATGTTGAATTGGCCGCTGGATCTGTTCCGATTACTGAATGACGCCCCCTTTGTGTCAAGTAGCTTCAAATCTTCGCCTTTATATCACAATACATATCTTCTATAACTTGACGTGTTTCGTATTGGCTGGCATCTTCAATTTTTGTCTCAACTTGGCTCTGGATGTCACATAATTGCGTGAAAATTGATTCAACTAAGCTCAAGCGCGCCTCTAGCTCTGCTGCAGTCATTGACTGGCAATTGTTTATAACATAATCTTTATTACGATTAAGAGAATTCATTAAACTTTCGCGCGAAGAATAAAACTCCATGTCTTTCATGTTTCTTTTTGGAGCCATTTTATTTTTATTCAATTACCCCTCAATAATAATATTAATTAATATTAATATTATTATAATCTTAACCAGATTAATAGGAGCCACTAGAAATTTTGACTTTTTTATACAAACAAACAGCGAATTAGTCCCACTGTACCAACTGTACGAGCCTACAGACGAATATATGACCAAATTTAATGTTCGTGTAGGTATGTATTTATGTGCGTTTAATTATACCGCAACAACTCCTATCTACGCCAACAACAACAACAATGTTTGAGAGCAGCAACAGCTTCAGCTGTTCTAACTGTTTCTCAAGAAGAACAGCAAGAATTTCGTTGCCTTACTTTTGATGCTCTCAGTACATGTGCACTCAAGATCAATTCAAGGTTAAACGGTAAGTAGTTGCCGCTTGCATTTACGTATACATTCATATATATGTATGTATGTACAGCATATGTATATGAATTAACTTCGCGAATTTTTCACAACACGTGTCTCACCAATGTACCACTGTATGCCGCGTAAATATTTCAATTATATTTTACTTACAATATTTGAATAGTCAACACATCAAACTGAGAATATGTATATGCCGTGCAAAAATACTAGGAGCACCATGCAGAAAACTACTCACAGTCGAATGTTAGAGTTGAAGCTGCACTCCAATGTGCACCAGCATCCAATCTCCAGGCTGATATATGTCCAAATATGTTAGAGCTCCAACAATGAGCTCCAATCGGGTTAGAACTTTGTCCAAGAAGTCCCTGCTCGGGCGCCAAATGATTCCGCAACTTCTGAATCAGGTGCGGATCGAAAAATCTCGCAATAAAAAGCCGAATGGCTGCTGATTCGACTAAGTCGGAAAACGAATTTTATTATAATGATGGTGCTTAGCCTAGGTGTGGGCGTGTGTCTTTTTTATGCACACAATCGATACCTCAAATTCATTCGATATCTGCTACATTTCAATTACATTTGTGGGTTTCTTATCATTCAGCTATTTACATAAACCACGAAATATCGGTTGAGTAATTCAATTCTGTTTACAATACTACTAATTATAACAAGGTATTTACATAAATATTCTCCCGGCCATGAGGAATTAATGTAACTTTAACTTATATCAGCTTTCGGCGTCAACAAATGCATTAAACGAAATATTCGAGGCAGTCTCACAGAATACAAATGTTGACATGCATGTTTTGTTTCTAAGAATCAAATGCAATTGACAAACAATGTCTTTATATGATCCATGCATAGCCAACAGAGATTACGTAATTGCGAAAGATTCCGCAATTTGGGGGGGAGAATGTTGCGACGCGGCATAAACAGAGCCGGCAGTTCAGTGTACCTGCAGATTACATGAATCGACCATCCAGAGCGCATGAAGGTGTATATTAAGCACAAGAAATTGGACTGACAAGCCATATTCATGCACCATTCGTATTTATGTTTATTTTTTTCTGTTTAATCAAAGCATTGAAGCCGTGCATTCAGATAACACCTTAACAATACATTTTTACAATTATAAAATAGCCCAACCTCGAGCACTTCTGCGCGAGGATTAATAAGTTAGTGGTGGCTTATGCTTATCCAAATGTTTAAAAAAATCTTAATCGTTTCAGTCTTCGCAAAGGTCTGGCAGGAAGGAGTCCTCTTGCAAGCAAACTGCGATGCGTCAGAAGCCTGTCACTGTATCTACTTGTATGCGTTCCAATCTGCTCCTCCATGGTGAACAGATTTAGGTCTCGGTGAAGGGTCGAGCCGCGCACGTACTAGGGGCAGTTGGTAATTTGCCGCAATGCACGGTTTTGCAGGACCTGGATGCGCTTATAATTAGATTTTGCGGCGATCCCCCAAATTTGAATACCGTAGAGCCATATCGGAGCTATGCAGTGGGCATAGACAGCTCTTTTTGCTCTAAGTGGTATAGTGCTCCTTCTATTTATTAGCCATCGCAACTGTTGCATTTTTTGGCCACATTTTTTTACCGTAGCACTCAGATGTGGCCGAAAAGTAAGGGTAATGCCAAGGTATTTAGCTTGCGCTGGCTGTTTTAGGGTTACTCCCTCAAGCTGAATAGGAGGCGTGCAGGAAATTAGCATTTTCAGCGTGAAGCAGGGGTTAGAGGTTTTCATGGGATTGACCTTTAAATTCCATCTAGTGCACCAAGCTGCCAGTGTATTGAGATAGCTCTGTAGTCCATCTGCTGCTTCTCGGTGATTTTTCGAGTTATAAAGAACCGCAATGTCGTCCGCATATGTTGCAATTAAAGCCTTCGAGGGGTCCTCCATATGTTCTTCATTGGGTCTAGGTAAATCAGCAGTATACTATATAGCGAGTAGAGCAGTGGGCCAAGCACGCTGCTTTGCGGAACACCAGCCCTCATCTGGCAGGGGGCTGAGTAGGTGCCCCTGACACAGACCTTAA